CAAATGCTGGGCCAATAAATTCAATCAGGCTGTTTCATGTGAAGGCAATCTCAAACATATATAAAATTAATATACGAGGCAGTATCTTACCATGGGCAGGTGTATATTTAGCCCATATAAATGGGCAAGAGCAGCTTGCATGCCCAGTGTGATATTATACTACTGACAATACCTGGTTGATTCTACAAGATTATGGCCTAAAATGTTCCAATTGTAGTTTCAGGATCTGCTAAGGGTCTGTTGATATGATCTGGGCTAGGCAGCATGGGACCCTAAAGGCAAGTTCATGTTGCCTGTTTGTGGGATAGAATGTTTACTGTAAATGGTGAATTTCTTGGCTTGCATAGTTGGGATTCTGGCAACGGATACCTTGTGCTTAGCCAGGATAGTAGCAGGATAGTATATCGGCAATACTGGCAATGTTGTCTCCTGCCTAGCCAGGTCATAAGAACAGGCCCCATATGTGACTAGTGGGCCAGATTAAGGAAGAAACAATGAGGGTCCTATGACTATGCTCTGTGACTATATATGTCCATAAATTTTGATATCTGAACAAAATTTTGATATCTGTCCCAAAGTCATCCATCTTCCTTAAGTTTAGGACTCTGAGACCAATGAATATATTGTCATTCAAGGATTAAAAACAGTTAAGAAAAGTGTTATGGTCAAACAAACGAAAATATTCATATCCACAGGGTGCAACACGCAATGTTGACACATTATTTTGAAGTCGACTAAGCTCGACTAAATGTCGAAATCGACGAAAAACGAGCCAAAAAACAGTTATTGAGCTAATCAATCAAATAAATACTTGGCATAAGTTTGAAGGTCCATAGTCCAAATATTTGATGAGTTTCTTTATCCCATTTATACCAACAAAATTTTAAAAATTCCCTGTATTTAGATATTCGCCATATTGATCGCCACGCTGTTTGGCAAGAAATCGACATGTCAACTTGTCCCGGCCCGGAAATGCCCTGTTTACTTGTTACACAGGATATTAATAAGTTAATGTGAAAATATGAAGATAAAAGTATCTTTTAAAAAATAAAACCTCTCAAACCTCGATTTGAAAGGCTTTTAAAAACGCTAATCCGTTCGGAACCTACAAATTCGAGGGGTGGTATTTAAGCCTGCGCAACCCAAAGTTTGAAGACCCATATCTTCGCAATCACGCAATTAATCAAAAATCGCCACGAGGAAGTTGAGGAGAATTCTTTTAAGAACAACATATATGAATTTCATGGCAAAAAACAAAAAACCGTTTGCAGAAAAGCTCTGAAGTAACCCCATATGTTTGTTTACAAATTTCATGTGATGAAGCGTTTTACGCATTCTGATTGGCTTAGGGCAAAAATGTAAACAAAAGCGCTGATTGGTCGAGAACGAAATTCCCCCTTGTTAGCAGCACGCGGTGGCGTCATTATAATAGACGGTTTTAGATTACAAGACGCGGACGTCAAAAGGACGTGCAGGATGTCGTCATTTGGCGCCAACTATCGTCAGCTTCTGGTTTGCGACGTCGTCTTGGACGATTTCAGGACGCGAAAATACAATTTTCACGTCCTCTCTAGAACGTCACAGATTTTTGCTTCTTTTGAAAAAAATATGACACTATGCATAATAAAAATCATCCTATTTTGTTCCCCATGTATTGTTTAATAATACTAGCTAAAGTTTTTCCATTGACAAGGTTGTTTTTCTTGTATTTAGCTAAATTTTAGACTAGTATATTTTCGACAAATACTTTCGGTCGCCATAAACAAATCAACAAAACTGCAAGCATTGTTAATAACCACTTCACCGCTAGTAATCTTCACCAAAACAAATATTTTAGAACAAACTAAAGTGAAGTTATATTAACAACTGTTTAAAATCAGGAAAACATGGGAAAATAGGAAAATAAAAGCACTTAAAAGCACCAAAAACTCACTCGATTTTAGTTGATCTGTAACAACAGTCAACAGTGCAAAAAGTAATATAAGACAAGCAAAAAAACGCTTTCCAGCGGGAAAAACTATCGTAAACAGCATTAAATTTTACCAATATAAACACTGATGCTATATTTATACTGAACAGTTGACAAACTTGAATGAATAAGCTTCAATTAGCTCGTAAACAATACCTGCAGCTGTTGTATTTATTCCAAATGATGCAACAAAGTTCACTTTTCAAAATACAAAAAAATAACTTTTTTCAAAAAAAAATTATTGAATGTGCATACTAATTTATCAGGAAACACTTGGCTAGTATTATATAGCCTTTTCGTGCACATATCTTGACAACTGATGGAAAACAATACAGGAATGAACAGGTAACAAGAAAACAAAAATTTGCTTCAAAAAAGACAAACAAGTCGTCCCAGATTAAAACCCGGAAGTGAACGCGAGTTGCATGCGTCATTTTCACGTCCTCTTGACGTCCGCGTCTTGTTATCTAAAACCGTCTAATGATAATAATATGACGTTATCATTAGCAAAATTTTCGGATTCCTTTGATATCAAGAGAAATTTCTAATTTTGTATTGCTAAAATAATTTGTTTGCAATTTCTGATAAATTTCGATATTGAAACGGAACAAGTAGAGTTAAAATAATTATGAAAATGAAGATTTGTAGAAATATTTTGCAATTACCATTATATGCATAGATATGAGATTTGGCGGATTTTTATGAAAATCCTTATTAACTTTTACTCCGATAATTATTGCATCAATTCATCATTCGAACTAATGTGTGTATGGTCTTCCGTCATCTTCAATTCCGCCATCTTTGGTTGATGACGTCATAAGTTGTCAAAAATTCCTCAAATATTTGACGGCATACAAATGTATGTTTCAGGCTTAAAAATGTTGATAAAACATAAAAAAGTTACTTAGGAGAAAAAGAAAAAATATTGCTTGACACATAAACTTGGATGCTATGCCAACGTGGCTTAGCGACCAAATTACTACACTGTTCTACTCCCAAATGTGAAGGTTTGTGCATTTAAATTAAAACGTTCAAAAGTTGTAGCTATTCAAAACTGCCTTCGGCACTTTCCGACCCCCCCCCCCCAGTCTATATAGGGTTAAAATATAACAAACTGTTATTACCAAGTGTCAAAATTCATGTAGCTATTGGGAAATGACTTTTATTCACAGTCGAATAATAAAATTGTCGAGTTATCAAGTTTCCAATTTCTTTTTTGTTTTCTTTGACGGAATTTTGGGAAACGGCAGATATTGTGGTTCACCGACTGCCAATCTTAGTCTCGTGTCCATAGAACATGTTGTTTCCCTCGGTCCCAGTCAATAAGTGCTAATTGTATTTTACATTATATTCAGCTGCCGAACCACATGCTTCTCCTACTGGTCCAAACGATGGCAATCTCAATGCAATTACGCCAACATTGGCTCCTCCCCAGTCTCTTCCCATGATCGAGACAACCAATGAGAGACACATCCCAATTGAGAACGTTGCTGAAAGCAGTTTTACTGAACCGGCTGCTGGCATGGAATATCGCATCAGACTGATGGAGAATATCGAACTGTTGGCTCATGCAAATAGAAAGATTGTAAGTAAAGGCGAAGGGGTTTGTGCATGCAAGGGTAGCGCTAGCAATTTGCCGACAGGGACACTAATTTACTCCCACGCACACATGCACCCTTCTAGCGCCGCCCCTGCATGAGTGCATCGGTGATTCATCTGTGTGTCCGGGCTTTGAATAATACAATTGTATTATGTTTACAAAAAATAATGCTCGACTATATCAAACAAAGCGAGAGGTACATGACTGTTCTAAATTCGTTTAAATTAACCTACTAGTACGCTTTCATGTATCGTGCGTTCTAATTGGTTACGCCACTATAGGCTATTTGTGATAGCCTACTAGAGGCAAGAAGCGGCGAAAGGCCTTTTTAAGTATTAAAAGCTGAATTTAAAGGAAAAATATAATCAAAATGGCCTAATTATGGTTCTGGATTACACGCAAACAAAGACTCTTGAACACTGCTGATACATACGGTAATATTTTTACGTTTTCTATATTTCGCTCATAATTTTGGGCATGAAAGTGGCAGGCGATTTTTTAAATATATGTACAATGTTTGTTAATATTCCATGTACAATCGTTGAAATTGAACAATAGTTTGTAGCTACTTACGCCTATTTTCTTAACCTTTAATGTGTGCTTGTTTTAAGTACGAGTTTATGGATTTAGCTATCATTTTAAAGAGTTTTTTCGTTGATTAAAATATGAAGATTTTGGCCGTGTTTGTTTTAAATTTCTTCTTTTTTTAGCCTTTTTAGTCGCGTTTTTCGATTAAATTTTAATCTAAACTTTTGTCTTTGTACACTAAATGGTGGGAATGTTTTGCTTCTTTATTTTTCCAGATATTTTGAATGTTTTAACAACATTCGGATTCTTTTGTGTGCATTTTTATTCGGCTTTTTAAGGTAATTCCTCAGTAATTGTTCCCGAAATGAGAATGTGCTGAAACTTCCCAGGCATGGAGTTTATAATATACTTAAAATAAAATCACACAAAAAAGTCGGGGTCACCGAATTCGTTAAGAAGATAACAATCACAATATACCACCTTTACCCCCAATATGGCGCCATCTTGACGCTCATTACGAGTAACAGCAATCTCACAACAGCCCGATATTTATTGACATTTTTAGCGCGAATTTTGCTTTAGTAAACCTATCATGTAAATATTTTTGAAAAAATATTGTTTATAGCAAAATGAAACTACTAACGTATACAATTCTGATCGACAAATGTCTTTTCCACATTTCTTGACATATCTTTCTTTGAGAACATGCATTGATAAAGCACTTTTTTTCAAGATTCAGAAATAATTTTTTTTTTAATTTCGAATATGAAATGTAAAATGCAATAAAGAAATACATTTTCAGTTTAAAAACGGGGGTCACCGATCTTTTTAGAGAATTGTGGCATTAAAACGTGAAATACAAGTAAATAAATATACTACATACGCAGGGAACCCTAGCTACACTTTTGTATTCCTTTTTTGAAAACATTCATTTAACGTAATTCTTTGCACGAATGTAACCAAAGATGTTTTGAAGTAACATAAAATTGCATAAAATGATATTTTTTTAAACGGTACGTATAATGCATGAAATTATAAGTTATAAGATGTGCGCAGTAAAAGTGCGCAATGCAAAACTGCGGAATTACCTTAACGTATTCTTTATTTAGTAACAATTCGGGAACCATTTTGTGTTTGAAATTTTGGACTTGTAAGCCTTTTTTAGCCAAACTTTGCTTGGTAAAAACGACCTCTTACTACTATACTTTTTGACGACATGTTTTTTAACTTTTTTAAACCACAGTTAATAAAATAAGATGGTTTGGCTAGTTGTCCAACTTCAATGGGATTCGGCGCCGACAGCAAAATATGTTGAGGCACAAAGGGATTAATGTCGCGTGGCAGCGTTTATTGACTGGCCGCCCTGTATCAAAACAATAGGATATTATATTGCAGTTGTCATTGTTCTCATCTTTCGTCGCGAAACAGTTGCGCTTTAATAACTTAAACTATATAATAACTTAACTATAACAAAGTTATAAGACGTGTCTATCCGTTATGTGTCTATCCCATAATATAGGATAGTTAGTGTCCATCCCAGAAGAACGTTGGTGTCTATTCCATAAGAATTAGAAGACGAATTTAGTTCGAGCGACGTTGGCGAGAAGTTACAACCATGGTAACAAAGCATGAAAGGACACGATAACATTCCCTCGCATATATATATATATATATATATATATATATATATATATATATATATATATATATATATATATATATATAT